TTGATTTTACACAGCAACAAATTTAATACATTTCGCAAACGGTGTTAATTCAACACAAAAAAAAATGTTAAAAAGCCATAAAATATTGTAAAGTATTAAATATAAATATTATTTAAAAAATCAATACAAGATTAATTTTTTAACATAACCACGTGCCAATTTAACTTATCGTGCTTATGTCATTTCAATATTCTGTGTTGAATCGATATTCAACATGTGTAAGTGCTAAAATAACACACACATTTTATATTTCAGTGTCGATTGACATGTTATGGATATTAATTTTGTATTAATTTTTGACATAATATTTGCGCTACTTTTCAGCGTATTCACCTTGCGTGAAAATTAACGCAAAATTTTTCACCACTCATATAGTAACATTGTGTTACTTAATTATTCTAAAAACATGGACTGTTTCTAGCCGATTATCGCCGCGCGCTGACGCGCGTCATTTTCGCGTCCGGATTGAGCTTATAGCGTGCGAAAGCTTTAACAAATTTCGCGAGGATTAGCTCATCGTTGCGGAGCGGAGACGGTAGTCTTGCCATTATTAATGGAATTAATGACCGTAGCACGCTGCCTGGGCGTACACAAGCAGACGCAGACTAATTTAACGTCGGATGCGAGGTGTGCTAATCTACGTACGGGGCGAACCTCCGAAGTACGACAAGACGTACGACGAATAGCCTTAATAGGATATCCTATTACTGAACACGGATCAATCGCATCCTATTCGGCCGGCTTCCCGCGGCATGGCCGCGTCGGGGATAATTATGGAGTGACTTCATTATTCGCGATAGACGCGGAAGGGCGCGAATTTCTTGTCACGCTCGGGCTTCATTGTTTCGGCCGGGCAAAATACCGAGTTGACAAAAGCCGGCCGAGCATCGCGTCGCATCGCGCCGGATCGACGAAGCGAGCCCGTAGTTCCGCAGTAACCTGGATTTGCGAAAAGATTGCACAGCCCAGTGGCCCGGAAAGAACAAACGGCGTTTGCTGAACCGTGCTTCATCCAGTTTTCCATCCCCCCCCCCACCCCCCGCCGGACTGCGTCGGATCGTGCATCGATGCGCCGGCTCTCTTTTCAGACTCGCCTTTAGACACTCGAATTTTCGCTTCACCTGCATCCTTCCGGATCGCGGGACCGTCCCCTTTTTCGGGACTTTAATGCGAAACTGATTCACCTCCTGATTCCCTCGGCGCGAGGGGAGTATGGTGACTACGATTGATATATCATTCGGGGTTCCTCGGGATCCTCGCTGCACGTCGTGCCGTTAAAAAGTGCTGGACAAACGCCGGATTGGACGGTCGCGCGACCTATGCTAATTACAGCGGGAGGTGTTCGTGTAACATTACGCAAGAAGGGCCGAGTGAGCGGCGGAAGTGCCGCGAATCGTGAGAACTCGAATCGTGAGAATCGCCGGGAACACCTACTTATTAGATACGATCGTTCCTCGCGATCCATTGTGCCCTCCGCGCCGCGAGTTACGAATCTTTTGTGTACGCGACGATAAAAATCGCTCGCCGTCCGCGAGACCGCTTTTAACGAGCTCTTGCTCGCGTCCCCGTGAATAATCTAGCGATCTGACGGACAACTGTCGTGCAACATCGGTAATTAGATGGAAGGTAAAAAAGGGACGGTATTACATGAATTTCACGCATGGAGCGTCGGCATCGATGCGCGGCGTCACTCGAACACACAATTACAATTTATCCACCGAACTCGGATGTTACGTTAAACGTTATGTTTCGATGCATAATTCACGGGTCACTGTGCGATGCTAATGACCGCGGGATACTCGGCTGTTCGATTCGTGGGGCGCAAAAAAGGAGGCACGAGGACGCGGCATCGAAGCACGGTACGTCGATGCCTTCCCTCCCAAAGCGTAGCTCCGAGGTAAAGCGAAGTCATTCGCGCTCCTCCTTTTGCACCCGAGGAACACGGAACATGGAAAGGAGAGTCTGCGTCGGTATACACGATCAGGTAGAGCCACGGGTATCCTGTAATCGCGGCGAGGCGAACGAACATTCCCCCGGGAGTCCTTCGTCAGGACTTTCCTCTTTCGTGGCGAACCGAAGGAGTCTCCGCCCGATTCCCAGATCGCATTTCAGGGAGATTCGAACGGGCTAAGCGTAATCGATCGCCGTGCGAACCGACGGCGTCCGTTCAGCTTGAGAAGCGACAGCGAGCGAGCGAGAATGAGAGAGGGAGAGAGGAAAGAGAGGGATCGGCTTTCTAAGAAAGAATTAAAGGCCGTTGTGTCGCGACGATCGTTATAAACCACGCTGTCAGACTGCGATTAATCGGGACATCGTTCGCCACGCCGTTGATTTATCTCGAATATATTGAGCGGCTACGCGACCACTGTTAGATCGCACGTGAAATTATTCAAGAGTCGTGTGACGGTATCCCGCGTTTATAACTCTCCCGTACGAAATCCGACCCTGCTTGATATATTAATTAATTAATGCACGCGCGCGCGCGCGCGCACGCGACTACTCTCTAACGCTTTTTAACTTGTCAAGCACATAATGTATCGGCTTGTCGGGCAGTGTCTTATTATTATGCCTTGCTACTTGACACATTGAGTAAATATTCGATGGCATATATGATTATATTACTCGAGTCATGTCCCGAGACATGCTCGCAACGTTATTTACATATATCGACCAGGCGAAACAACATGGTTCACCCGCGAACGAACATACCACAGCGTAACTAGAGATCCATTAGCTTTCGTATAAAAATTTAGTTGCTTTTTTTACAACGCGTATGCACATACGGAATAATATTTTTCCCGTGCCGGAGAGAAATCTGAAAAATTGAGCACCATTTACAATATCATGAATAAACTGGAGAAATATCATTTACCGCACGGAAACCGTTATGAAACAGAGCTGAAATCACAGTCCGATTAATTTTAATTTCAACTGGATGTGGCCCAGTTTGATATCCGAGTCGAGGCGCATCCCTCTGTTCTTCATCAATTTTCAACAACGCTGACAAATAGCGTAAAAATTTATGAGTCATTTTTTGTGCGTGTAGTGAATGTAGTTTATAGGGTGTCGTGCGTATTCCACGAGTATGTTCGTCATAATCAAACGAACCGCCGGGTTTATCCGCCGATACGGTGCGAGTGAACTTTCATCGGCAATAAATTAAGCTTCATTTCACGTCCTTATGCATTTTTATAAGTTATATAATAGGAGCGGCAGCACGCAAACTGTGTCTTCCGGTCGATCTTATCGGCCATAATATTACAACGCGTTCGGTCACGAATCATTTCCTTGTGTAATTCACATAATTTACAGCGCGAATGGTACATGGTGAACAATTTTATATTATATTCAACACATTTCGTATGTCCGAAACGGTGCACACAAATTTTTGTATTAATTTAACATAATGTAGATATGCCGTATAGTATATATAATATAGTATAATATATATATAGTGTATATAGTAATAGTGTATATAATATATAGTATAGTGTATATTATATATGTTGTGTAATAATACGTTGTATATTTAAAGTAACAAAAATATTATATAAAAAATTAATATAAAATTAATACATCAATCGGCACTGAAGTGTAAAATGTATTATTTTAACACTTACATGTTGAATATCGACTCGACGCAAAATATTGAGATGATAAAGTAAATATAAAATTTAAGAAACATAAACCACGATATATTAAATCAACACACAGACGTGTGAAAAACTTAATAGAAAAATTACAACAAAGACCAACGCAAGTACAAAATGTTGTTTTTTTCACTTTGTCCGCGAGATTGGACGGAACGAAGCGGAACGAAGCGGAACGAAGGAGTGGATCGAAATGCCCGTACCGCATCGAGTACTACGGTGTACCTTCGAGAATTGACGCGCAAAAACTAGCATACTTTTGCCGTCCTGCTTTAAAGCTGCAACAGTAGTGCCACCACCTCCGGCCGAAGCTGCGCATACGATGAATATTAATTCGCGACGACGTCGGGTAACTGGCCCCGCATGTAATATTTTAAATCCGCGTATCTTCCCTGCGCGAGCGCGAAACACGCGGAGGGGGTGGGCACGAAAAAGTTTATTCAAATCGAATGTATCCAAACCAGCGCGGCCGGCAGATCTGATCAGAGATCGGTATACGCGTTCGTCACTCCGAATATGAAATCGTTTTTATGCGCGCGTTATATGCACGACTGCGTATATATTTATCGAGACTACAGATCGCGCGTGCAGCCGGCCGGCTTTCCGGGATTTTTCGAAAATCCGGCAAAAACTATCGCTTGCGGACGGCACGGAGGATTGTTCAAACGCCCGCTGGCAATCTCGATAAATGGCGCTCGAGCGATTCTCGACCTGCCGACTTGCAGCCGAACGCGGAGTGCGCGATCGCGCGTCCCCCCTCTCCCCCTCCCTCCTGCTATCCCGGTGTGATAAAAAAGTTTCGCGATCAAACAGCCGAACGTGGCGCGATTGACATGCACCAGCATTTCACTGCAAACTGATTTTTTTGTATTCTAAGCGATAGCTCGCTCCGCTGACTGTAAACTCAATAAGCGGCGCGTAATCCGCAAACTGCGAACGGCGGTCTCGCGCTAATGTTTTCGGCTTTTACGCGCCGTTTTCCCGAAGCCCCGCAACGAAGTGGCGAGATTTGGTAATCGCATATTTTTTGCTTTGTTGCACCGGCGCGGTGCCCGTGAGTCAAAAATGGCACTGCGAACAATCGTGCGAAATAACGAATCGGCAGGGACGATCGATTCTCTTTAAATAGCAACGACGAAAACGGACAACGAACGGCACGGGGTTCGCCCGAACGACGCGTGTTTCACACTCTACCGCGCCTCGTGCAACGAGAAACATAACGGAAAGCATAATATCCACAAACGTTCGTAAGTCGTTGGAACGACCGTCTCGTAACGAGTTAAAGTGAGAAATGTTATTCTTGGATCGGCTAAAACCTCTTCGATTAACTTTCTCGCGGTTTGTTTTCAGAACGAGCGTCCTCTGGCAACGAACCAAAAATGCGTAGCCATGCGCGCGCGCCCGAGCGCGTCCCGAGATCCGTGGCTCGACTACCTTTGATGCTTTGCGGACCGATCAGTCCCCGCATCCTTCCTTTGGGAAGCGGAAGAAGGAGGAGAAAATCGAATCTGAGATTCGTTCGACCGCGTGAATTCATCTCGCTGGTCTAAGGAGGAATTCCCCGCGTCATCTGATTCAAAGGCGAAGCTTTTCCAGCTAATGCCCGGCACGCAAATCGTTACCATCTACTTGAACTGGGACGCTCCGCTCACGAAAAGAAGATACAGTTAGTAGGTTACATCGCGACAGACGATTTGTTAAAATTTGCATTTTCGGTGATGCAGTTTCTCGCCTAGTTTTTTTTTTGTACATGCTTTATATTTTCCGACGTATCTTGGGAGAGCTTTAATGATCAACGGATTATGTCGTCTTGATAACAGTGACAGTTTAAAACAAGAATTCGCGTTACGTTTGCGTGCTTTCAGAATTGTAAACAAGCCACATTTGGCTGATCGAAGTAAATTTAGCTATGAACTATACGTTACATTTTAATACCTTCGGAGAGATAAAATAAGACATGTCTCTCTCATGGATGATAGCGCAAATAAATTTTATAAATTGCACATAATAATTATATATGAGGTGTAATATATAAATATAAGTATGATATATACATATACAGATATATAATACGATTATAAATATGAATATAAAAATATATCTATACAGATTATTTAATAATTCCATCAGCGGTGATATAACTGGAGAAACAGTTTTAGATTTAAATTACTTGATATCGAAGTCCGCTGTGTTCCCATCTATTCAATTATTCTATATCTATTATAGTTATTTTTTAAAATATACGGAGATACGTACAGTACTTGTTCTAACTGATGCATAATTGAAACGAAACAGAGCATGCAGTAAAATGATTAAACGTTAATTCGCTGCTCCACTAGGTATCCATTGTTTATCAAAATAACGTGTACTGTGCAACGTACCATACGTTCAAAAACAGCTACCTTTTTTGTGTGCGACAATTTTTGCGCCCATCTAGCTTTGATCACGAGTAATGTAAAACGAAGTAAGTGGCCTCGCAAAAGTCTCTTTTTCGTAAATATGCGAACCTTGTCTTCTGTGTGTGTGTGTGTGTGTGTGTATGCGTGCGTGCGGCGTGTGTGTGTGTAAATGTATGTTCGTGCGCTTCGTACTTAAATTAAGTTAAACGTGATCTCTAAGTTACTTAAACACCGAGTCGATACCAGCAACACAATTTAAGGACCAAGATAGAAAGAGAAAGAGAGAGAGAGAGAGAGAGAGAGAGCGAGCGAGGGAAAGAGAACATCGTTCGATATCGTGAGAGCCGTTTCTAATCCGAAAAAAAGAAGAAGAAAGTTGAAAATCCTATTATCATCGGAATCGGTCGTTAGCGAGAGCTCGTTAACGGGTTAAGGTAAATGTATCTGAAAGCGACCGTACAGCGCGGAAACGGCGCGCGACCCGTGATAGAGAAAGAACGTGGAAGATAGTAGAACGGCGGTGGACACGTCGGGAGACGAAAGCGAAGTACACACCGATCGCCGGGCAGGAATGCTCACTTACACGGCGGGGGACTGCTGTAATCTACACCCATTATGATATCTAACACCCGCCACGAACGGCCAGCAGTCGTCAATGATATCTCGTTTCTCTGTCGGAACGAGCGCACTCGCGCAGCGAGAACACGTCAGCACGCGAGCATGACGGTGCATGACGTCGCACCGGTGAGCCGTGGGAGGCGGTGTCGATAACGAATGTGGGGATCGGTCGAAGGTATCCTTGACGACACGGACGGTTCGAAATGTACGGAGAGAGAAATGCGTTTCGCGCGCATTTTCTACAATGTCTCCGGAGACTTCTTCCGGCCGTGGGATAAACATTTATCAGCCGGTGCGACGTCTTCCTCGATCCCAAGAGCGGTAGTAACCTATCCCGAAGTCTCTCTCTCTCTTTATCACGATCTATCTATCTATCTATCTCTTTCTTCGCTCTTCGTGGTCCGCCGTGTGCACCCGGAAGAATGTGGGAGAATAGGCCGAAGCCATCGCATAGTGACAGCGAATTCATAAATTTCCTCCCTTCTTGCATACTCGAGATTCTCCGTGCTTCCTATTTACTCTTTCATCCGCCACTTCTGCTCACGGCAAAAACGAGTTCCATCGAGGAGGAACAGTCGACTCGCGGGGAGGACGAACAAAGTGGGGCGCGCGGTCAGGGAGGAACGGAGAGACCGTAGGCGGAAAGGAAGACGAAAAGGAGAAAAGGAGAAAATGAGAAACCCGTAGGGACGCGGGGATGGAGCAATGCCGACATCGGTCTGGACGGGGTAGAAGGAGGGAGGCCAGAGATAGGCAGCTTTTTATATAAATGCTCATCCGTTATTACGTCGCGGAGGTCTCCGTCCGACTTTGTTCCTCTCGCAATATACAATTATACAATAATTTAAAAGCAAAGGCCGAGACCGACTGTATTTCATTCTTACCTCGCCTTAGCCGCCGCGCTTCCTCCGCGCGCAGTTTCATCTCCTTCCTCGAGTGTCGCTTCTTCTTCTTCGAGGATCACCGACCGCCTCGACGGAGCCTTCCTTTCCTCGAGCCGTGTAAAGCGGAATACGCTAAGCCCCGTTCGGAATTGAACATTGCGACACGGAATATTCATTTTTTACATTCGCACACGATGTTGAGATAATTTACTTTTTAAGTGTGTACACGTTTGTATCAATTAAACGGATACCATAATTTGTTCGAGTTATAATTTGCTGATCACACACACCATATTCTCTCTCTCTCTTTTTCTCCCTCTCTTTCTCGTTTGCGTGCGTGTCCGTTCGTTTAGTCCTCGATGTCGAGCATCACGTCGACGAAATCGCTGCTTTACGAATCGACCCTTCCTATATCATTTATATCGGTGCTCCATGCTACAAGTGCGTTCAATGGGATCTCTTCGTTCGACGGGACCTTCCCCGCCGTCCATCCCCATAGAAACGCGAATTAAGTATTTCCGATAAGAAGACATCGAGGGTAAAACGCGAATCCCCATCCAGACACGCGAACGTCTCTCGCGATTTGATGGCGTGCAGGAGAGCTCGGGAGAAAGGTAAGAAATATAATCGATAACTGCGCATCGAACAGCGCGAGAATGGTGCAACGCACATACAGACGTGTGTGTACGCATGCATACGTATATCCATGTAGATTTACAGCATTCTTTATAAAATATGTATATCTCGACATATATATTTTGCAAGCGACGGCCTCGTTCCCGCGGCCACGACGAAAGAGGAAGGATAATTACTTCGAAAAATAATCGCGTTTCTCCAGCTGTCACGACAGGCGCCGGTCATTAATTTGCACATTAGAGATATACCCGAGCGACCTGTATGTTTCTTTCCACCCTGGAGCTTTCAGGAAGCGAAGGAGAAAGTGATATCACAGTTGGGGCTGGTTTCCTCGAGTTGAAATTTTAGTTCTACATTAACCCATTAGCTGCCACGATCCCCGTTTGGGGATCAAAACAAAACATAATTTGACTATAATTATACTGTTACACAACTTTTTGTGCATATATATAACTTATTTACGTTTTATTGAGATAATTGAATATTAGATAATTTTCAAATAAATTCTCCTTTGAGTCAAAATGAAGAAAAATGATCATTTTTTATATCAAAGAACAGTAGTCTCGTAAAATGTTGTATCTCAGTATTCTCCATTGACACTTCAAGTTCGATCTGCAGGATTAATGTAGAACCGAAATTTTGACTTTAATTAGCGCATGCAATACATATACAATCCTGAATGTGATAATTGGTGGATTCTTCCCGATCAATTAGAAAAATTACGTCGATTGCGGCGTGCCCGTTTTTACCATAATGTGCACGACTCGAAGTTGAGAAATAGCAGAGAAATAATCAGTCAACAATGAACGTTACCGCGATATCGTTTGGGGATTTTTATCGTAGCCGAGTGCGCGATTTGTTCCGTCGCGACATGTCAAGGAAGATACGATCGTGGATTAAGCAGAATTGTTTTTAATACAATGTTCCGAGATAATTTTTCTTCCTGCTTTTTCTCTCCAAGCAGCTTCTCCGTTTGAGTGATTCTCGCGATTTTTCCGGCAGAGAGCAGCGAATCGGCCGTGATTTCGAGCCATTAGGTCGCGTTCACGAGGCGCTCGTCGCGCGACGATGGATGACTCTATCCGTCGCGCATTAATCTTCCCGACTGATCCAGCCCGTAGTCTGAATCTCTCCTTGTAAACGTCGATTGAATAACGTGTCGTCGGGGATGACGAAGAGTTTGGGTCGTGATTTTGACGAGTTTCACACGCCGTAATCGAATGTCGCCGCGTAAGCGTTGTCGCGCTCTCCTCCGGGGTTGGAAATATCCCGGTTAGCGACGTTCGCTTGTCAGTTAAAAAGGACAAGATAGATTGAGAGACATGTGTTCACATATCGGACGAAGGCACTCGAGTATTTTCGAGCGCACTCGAAGATATTCGAATCATCCGAGTTTAACCGGCCCCGGCTAGATGGATTTAATGCGAACAGCGGCGGGCACGATATGCACGAGGAGTCCTCTCAATAATTTAGAGCCCGCGAAGTTTTGTCGGCGGTAAATTCTCATAAAAGACTGCATAACCGGCGACTCGGTACGGAGTGTGTAATTAAGAATTAATTGGAGTTTTCCGACATACCGTTGCAGCTCTCGCGCACGATGATCACCGTCATATATACGCCGCGCGAATACGCCGATAGTAATTGCGATGCTGATTGGTCGAAAAACTTCTAGGAAGTTCGCAATTATTCAACGGAATTGTTCGAGTCGAGCGTTTATACGCCGCAGCACGGTCTACTAACAAAGTACGCGATGCGAAAATCGATCCGAACGTCTCGAATGCATTCAACGTGTCCGCTTCCCCGCTGAATGGACTGAACAAACGAGGAAATGCAAATTAATTAAGCTGACGTTTCGAAGTATCGGCATCGACCGAGAAAATATGAAAAATTACATCAAAAGCGCGCGTACGAGTCGAAATTTTGCTACTTTTAAGGGCAGTTCGCACATACTCGGACAGCCTACTGACTACGCAGAGCAAAAGATTTCCTTGGATTTAATAATATTTCTTTAATTGAAACAAATTTATTTTCTGAAATACAGCAAACAATCGAATATTTGGTTCAACAAACAGAATTGTTTTGTTTCGTAAAAAATAAACATCTTCACGTCAAATATATTTCTTTTGTATTTTCATCCAAACATTACAATGGTTATCATAAGTAATAAATTATTTGAAAGACGTAACATGTTAGAAAAATATTAATGAACTTTCTTTTTGTCTCAGTAGGACGATATTTAATATATTATATAATAAAATAATTTCTTTTATTGAAAAAGAATATTATATATTTCCTTTAAATGATATTTTCTTTTGTCTTTCTATCAAACAACACCGTTTACTCTAACAACATTTTCACTGAAATAAAATGATATATAATATTAACTTATGTTATTTATATTAGACAAACTTAAGTCAAACACATACACGAGA